CTTGAAGTCCATTTACTCACACCTCCCACATGCCTTTTTTTTTTTCTAAATAGGAAAGCCATTCTGTTGCAAATTGTTATATTAGGAAACTTTCTGATTTTCTCACTTAAAGAGAAAAAACACCAAGAAGAGAGCACCAAAAAACCATCTGCCTCCAAGCGAAAACATTAGGTTATAGACTGTTAATTATAACTACAAGTCAATCGTAATACCTACAGTTTGACAGTAGTAGGATCTAAATTTGTAAATGTTCTTATGTAAATGAAACTTTTAAAAGTTCGAAATAAACAATCTGGATTCTAAAAGTCTGTCCTGTTACTGACTGCCACACCACAGACAGATTTGAGCTAAAAGATAAATGCTGGAAGCATTATTAATTAGATTCAAATAATATTTGCTATTCTGGGATCTTGGAAACAGGGTATGTTAATCTATACACGGCAGTAGAGATAAACATCATTTCAAGTTTCTATACTTTTTCCACTCTTTTCTAGTTCCCCAAATAGTAGACACATTACACGCAAAACTTCTACATTTAAAGAAGCTTTGTGTGCAGCTTCATGCAAAGACACTCAAATTTGCAAAGCTAAGTAAAAAGACAGAAGTCAGAACTGGTAAGTAAGCCTTCAAGCTTCAGGGTGGCTTATAGAATCGGGTACAGTGACTGACTGACCTCTGTAAACAGCTTTTCTTACGAGTGCTAGCAGGACACAAGACTGAATGTATCCCTGCCATCTTACTCATTCCCTTCTCTTCATGCAGTTCCTCAACTCATTTAGTACCCATCTTCAAGAGCAAATAATGAAACAGCAACTCTTTCCGAGGTTGACCCATCCTGTGCAGTTAACAAGGGAAGGTATCTGTGATGAGACAGGTAATGCACGATGAGCCAGTGCTCGCACAAAATGTCAACTGAAGTCAACTAAATTACATCCACGTAGATAGAGCTATTGCACAGACTGCTGCCACGTTCACCTCACCGAGCAATCATAACCTCCTGCCATCCTTCATTTTGACCAAAAATAGAGAGGGATGAGGCAAACAAAGCAAAATCCACTAGTAACCAACAGGAACGTTATTTTAGCTTGAATCCAAATTCACCTTTGAGGTATCTTCTGGTAAAAGAAACCATTTTCCTCTTCTCCCAACAAGCACTTTGCTTCCTGCTCTGCACCTTGTTCCCACTCTGGTCCTGCCTGACTACACCCACACCAGACGGCTGACCAGTGGGTCAGGGCATGAATTCAAGCACCTTCCCACATACCATTTAATTGTTAGCACCTTCTGGTATGGTTTGGGCCCCTGTTGTTCCAGCCACAGAATGGCCAGCCACGCTTTAGGACACGACATAGGCCAAGGGCTGTTCCCAGTATGCAGCATGGGCAAGACTGTCCTTTTGCGGGAAAGGAGTTGAGCAGGGCTGAAGAAGAGGGGACGGGTCAGTCAGTCTCTCACCCTAAAGAAGCTGGGGTGTGCCTGGGTGTAGAAGCGAAGCACCATCAATCCCAATACTTAACAGCTCCCAACCCTTCGCTGCCGCGCCACGTGGCTCAGCTCCTGCACCGCTACTGCCCAACTCCTGACCCTTGCGTCCATCTCGTTCGGATCCCTCTTCCAATCTCTCTTCCCAAGGATGGATCCACTGAGGTTCACCCTTCACGCTGCAGAGACCGATAGCTTTTGCCTCCCCAGCGTAAAGCAGAAGTTGGGTGGTGGTACAGAAACTCTTTCAGGAAGCTACGAATGCTCCGTCTGTGTGCAGGTTCTAAAGCAAATGGCGAAAAAATAAAACCAGAGAAGCACGCAGCAGCGCGTAGCTGTAGCTAGGGAAGAGCCAATCTCCCCAGTGATCCCACAAAAGACTGGCTCCTTTTTCCTCTGTGGCAACGCATGGATATAGAACCCGGCCCAGTGCAGCCTTGGGCAGGGCCAGGCGCGAGCACCGCGAAAAGGGTGCGCAGGCCGCAGCCTGTGTGGGGACGTCACGCCAAATCCTCAGCTATATTAACGGAAGAGCAAAGGTGAAGGGATTGAATGGAAAACAGAGCACATGTCCATGACGCAAAGACCATGGATTTAGCCACGGCAAACATCGACTCTTTCCAAAGGTACAAGTATGACTAAATGTCTTAAAATATTGACAGAATCGGAAAATGCAACTTAATTCCTGAAAGACCACTCAGTTTGGCTGAAACTTCAGCAAGGGATCAAATAGGAGGAATTTCAGCAGTTGTGAGAGGAAAAAAAACACCCATTGCAGCGTGGATATCTCAGTTATAAAATCACAGGGCTACCAGCTCCAGCTATAATAAAAATAGCCTAAGCATGTTACACTCCAAAAGGGGAAGCTTCCAAACTTGTCTACTCACAAGCTTACCAAAATTCACAAGTTTGCCGAGAAAAGTGGCATTTACTTACCTAGAAGTTTCCTTCAAAATCAAAACAGTTTGCTTTCTTCAGAAGGTAAACAAGAGTAACCCTGACAACTAATTCATTAAATTGAGGGACTGAAATCTAACACATGAAGAGATGATGCCATTTCCCATTAAGTCATCTTTATTCCATAAATCCTTTTATGTGGATAAACTAGTGCCTACTTTACAAAGTGACATTTGGAAACTTTTATGATCAGGTGATGAGAATGATCAAGTGCTGGCCAAATAGTTCAACATGTACAATGAGTATCTGACTGACATATTACAAACTTCTAGAGAGGGAAACTTGCTTTATCCAGCTGCATTGATGTAGAACATAAGGAGAAAAGATTCTGCTGCAGAATACATTCACAGCTATTTTGTAAAGGACATCTTAAAGAAAACTGAAGACTTAAAAAGCATAGTTCTAAGATTAAATGGAGAGAAAAACTAATCCTTTTTATACAAATAAAGGTCAAACATGCTTCCTCAAAAGCTGATTAAGCAATCACTGCCCAAGAAATGACCAGAAACATCAAACAGAAACACGCTTTATACCACTCAAAAGAATAACACTTAAGGATATGTCAGGGTGTCAGCTGTTAAAAACTAAATCACTTTCATGGGAGAAAGGTTTCTAAAACAGGAGCAAGTAAGAGCGTACAAAACGTTAATGCAGAAAATGTCAAGTAATGCCTGATACATGATAAATGCTTAAACACAAAAGAGAGGGCCCTGCTGCTCTTTTTGTTAAGTAATCTCCACCTTTAAACTGTAAGATACAAATACAAAACGGCATCTGAAACTAGAACTTATATTTAAAGTGGAAAACTACACAAGTACAAGCTGAGTAGCTTCAAGCAATTCAGCCATTAAAGAACCTGACATCAGTTATTAAAGTTGGTGTTGCAGTTATTTATTTTCATTTCCTCGTTCCACTTTGGGAAAATTCATCTACTCGTTACTGATGCCAATGTAAAATTCAATTCTATATGATTATGAAGTATTACGAAAATAATTTTGTGAGGTGTCGAACCGAAGACGGCTATTTACAGGAATATCAGGAACAAGGTATTGTTCCTGATGCGTATCAGTATTATCTGTACAGGAGTTTCGGTAAACCTGCTGGATTGTTGCATTGACCAACTACTGCAATACAAAAATTCAGACATTTTGAAAGACTTCATAGCTTTTAAGCATTACTGAGAAAAAAATAAGTGCCACATAATTAACAAGAGGAGCTGAAATTGTAGGCAAGACTGTCTAGAAGTTTCCAGTACAAAGTATAACAAGATTTACGTAAAACCAAAGACTTTAGTGTTATTAATCTAAATCACTCTAGAGCGTTTCATGATGTTCCTCCAAGTGGAGCTCAGCTCTTCCTTTAAAGTGGAGTTTGCTATTTTCTGTGATGTTTTGTTCTTACATTGTTAAACACCTTAAGAATGCTAAGCTAATAAGACAGGAATTTAGTATTACAAAAATTCCTTCAGGAAAAAAAAAAATCTTATGCACAAGATAAAGTTAGCATGTCATTCAGACATCTGACACTACTCAGAAGCACAGTTTAATATCCTGTATTTACATTATTAATGTAAACATAAATGCACACTAAATTGCTGCTTATATAAACTATATAATATCCACTTATTAACTCCTCCTTCTTAAAATAATTAATTCTCAAGCATGTAAGAGAAGCTAATTAATCCTGACTTTTGCATAATATATTAGAAAGAGTACTTTGTTTTCAGAAAGTGTATCTACCATTACACACGTCAACTACAAGAGCTTTTTAAGTGCTCAGTGTACTGTGCCTACAATGCTTTCCTACTTTACTACACTGATCAGCAGAGGTACTCCATTAGCTCTCTGTACCCAGCAATTACAATAAATAGCCTAGTCCACAAAAAAAAAAAAAACCAAAAACCAGAACCAGGACTACTCAATTTAACTGAAGTTTTACAGAGGTTCTTGCCTGTTCAGGGCCTTTCTAAAATAAAAACTTTAATAATGAACTTTCCTTTCAGCTGCTTATTTACTAGTTAATAGGATGATCTGTATATGCAGCTGTGATGACCTGGTGCCTCACAAAACTAAAGCAGCGTAGTTTGTGCCAACAGTTCAGCCCAACTCACGGGATTCAATTTTACTAGAATACACAAATGAACTTAAATGGTAGGTATGGCGTGTAGCTTTCCCAAAACACAAGTCTAATTTGTGGAAGATTTCACAAAGTGAAAATGTAAAGTGTTTACATAACTAAAACATTACTGCTTGAAGTGTCCCAATTCTTCTACCCGAAAGAGCTAAAAAGTTTGTTGTTGACTTTACAATGGTAAATACTCTATTCCTTTTTCCCTCCTTCAGTCTAGCTTGTTACCTCCTATCTACCTAAATCTCTCAGATTGAAAAACCACATATACGCAGAGCAGTAAGTATATTATGTTTCTGCTTCCTGTCTTGTTTTATCTACCAGTGATCTAAATTCTGTAGCCTTGTATCATGCTAGCAATATTAGAACCCAGTCCTCAGTTGGCCCCTGGAGACTAAACAGAGCATTAAATGTTAATCAGCAACTCTACTTACCACATTGAAATCTAAGTTTTTTTCAACCCACTCCTTGGCTTCCTTGAACTCCTCCTTCATTTCCATGATGTATAGCGTATCAAGGGCATCCACTATTGTTGCTCCTTGAATGTTACCTGCAATACATGAAGAACCAGTGATTTACTTTCCAACAGATGGCTTTTCAGTTAGATCTAATTAAAATTAATTCTAATTTCAAAATTCAATTTCAATGAATCCAATTAAAAATTGGGTGTATAAGCATTCAAGTGGGCAACTAGTAATTCACAGCCTTAACTTTGATTCCCATGCCACAACACAACATTGTAATATTTAAGTAGTTCTTCCACTAACAAAGTTTTAAAGAACAGTTCTGACACACCGCATTTTCAGCCATGATTTTGCATTTTTAAACACCTATGGAACAGTTCACTGTAAAATGTAATTCATGAAAGACAATAAATCTCGATAAATTGAGAAATAACTGTTTCTTCCAGTTTGGAGTGAAAAAAAAATCAGTTGCTTTTTTGTTTTTATACTCAATAATGTGCATAAAGCTTTAAGAAGCTGATAAGTACTGATCACATTTCAGTAAGGAAAGCCGTTTAAGAAGTACCCTCTCTGAAAGACAATTTTTCTGATACTGTGCATCACCATGTAATCTGCACAAGAGAGCATTGGGGGAGCAAAGGCAAACTTGCACACACGTGAATTTCTCAGCTCAGGAGAGACTGCCGGACACCAGTTTTCAGTGCAAGTTCTGGTTGTCTGCAAAAGTGATATCCTTCTACCTCTGTTACAGAGACAGATAAGAGTTAGCCTTCACCTAACGCTGCAAGATGAAGTATCATCAGTATGTTCACTTTGGCATGGATTAAATGTTCATGAGCCTGTACAGAAAGGTTAATATGGAGGGTTGAGTGAGGGAGAAAAAGCCACTCAAACGACTTTCCCATGCTTCCTTCAAATTTACAATGACCTTTTCAAAACACCATTTTTTGTCTAGGAAGAATTTTAATTCCTATTTACTGAAGAGTGTCAATTTTATATTTATGAACTTGGCTCCAACAATCTTCATTATGAATAGAAGCTACTGTTAAGATATACTTTAAAGACGACCCTAGATACAAAAGTAAACACTTAAAATTACAAAATAAATTAGGCTGCAAGGAACAGAGGAAGTCATTAGATCCAATCCCTCTCCCCCAGCAGGGCTAATGACTCAGGCAGATAGCTGACTACTTATTCAGCAATTGATTGCACTGGGCAGATAACAAGACAGTAGCTACAACTAACTTTATTCGAGAACTCGATTATCATCTTGCCTCTGAAATACCTGATGAAAAAGTAAACTTAGTTTTGTAGACTTATCAAGTATCAGAAGTGGATTATATATTTAAGTAGGAAATCCCCTATTTCAGTCAACTCTTGTGTTTACCACCATCAAGGTTTTCTGCTTTCTCATGAAATGGAGAAGTGAATGGAGACCTCCATATAGCAGGATTGACATCACTTTCTTATCTTAAACTTCCAGGTAGAAAATAATTTTCCATTTGTATCATCTTACACAAAGTAATACTTGAGATTATTGTAAAAGTTACTTAGTACATTTAGCAGAACCAGATGCTCTCTCTGTTTTAGCAGCTGCTAATTGCTTATAGTATCCTTTTTGGAACGTTCCTTTCCTACTCTGAAGGAAGTAATCTATATATTTTCCCCTAAATACCCCACTAATAAAACTGCAGCGTACTTTGGTAAGAAGGACATCCTCTCTTCCCAGAGTTTATTTGGAGCTTGGCCACCCTTCTCTCATATTAAAGGAAAAGCATTCCTTTAAACTTGGCTAAGTAACTTGTATTTTTCCTGAGCTCATGAGAAAGTGAGAGTGAGTGTGGAGAACTGCTGGAGGACACGTGCTCAAGAACACCACTCCAAAGGCCCTGGAGTTGTTTAGTAACTCTGTACAACAAAAGCAGCTCCTGGTGAACTTTTACAACTGAGCTCTACTTACAGAAAAATCGTCTATAACTTGATTTGCCTGAGTAGACTGTGATAGGCTCACTGTGCAATGACATTCCTTGTGATAATCTTCTCGTAATACAGCTAACACCACCCCTGAACAGTTGAGCTTTCAATTTTAAGGATTAGTACTTGAGCTGCAACTCACTACTGAGTCAGAACAAAAAGAGGAGAATCCAACCTTACTGAGGAATTGGAGTCACCCACTTCCTATGATCCCCCCCCCAAAATCTGGCCAATATGACCTGCTTAGAGCATAGACCTCTCCCTGCAGGCAGACAGGAGAAAATGGGATAATCTCAGGTAGGTCTTACTTTGTTTGAAACAACTGTTGCTATTATTCTGAAGGCTTCAGAAAAAAGAATAAAGCAATTAATGTGACAATTAAATAGTCAAGTTTGTCTTGAAGAGTTATACTTCAGAATTCTTGATAAAAGAACACAGAATGCATTTTTAAAGTGTCAGTTGAGAGGCCAGAGGTATGACTTGTGAACAACTGCAGTTTACAGTAAATTAGCCAACAGGATAATCCAAACTTAAGAGTGTTAAGGAAATGGTGTAGCTGAGCAACTCACTTATAACCAGTCAGCCAAACAAGGGATGGGGGGCGGGGAGGAAGCAAAAGGAATGCAAAGAAGTTAAATGAACATTTCTTATTATGGAATAAGACCAAATATTTCACAAGCCTATATATGCTATGCTTCTCAAAGCACACCACATAAATTATTAAATACAGTTATCATTCATGTTAGTTCCTACACAATGTTCCCAAGGAATTACACAGCAGTCATAGTCTACAAGAGGCAAAGATTATTGCTAGGTAATTACAATACACACTCATATACTCAGAATATTTGGACAGGAAGACTGTTTTGTTATACATCTAAGGTAATGCTGTATGTTTGATTAACAGTGAGCACTGGGTTACAAAAAGTGCCAGCAAAGTTGCAGTCACCATGGTAGAGTTTCATAGTTGTCCTAGGCAGGAGGAACGTATCACAAGCAATACTTGGAGCAAATCCATACACCTCAGGTAATTACAGATATATTTTGCAGACAATACAAAAATAGTATACAGTATACTCAAGGTAGAGAAAATGGACTTGAAATTCATAAAACATAAGCTTGAAGCGAGTAATTTTGATGATAAGAGATAACCAGATGTACAAGCCTACCAAAGTGAAACTTTATTAGTCTCTCCCGAAACCTCCAGACCAAGTACTCATATATGCTCCATTTTACTTCCTTTGTTGAACCTGCTTCTGTTTTTCCCTCTCCTCCTTACTAACGCTACCGTTTATTCCAATGTAAGTGATTAATAGAGAACACGCTAAATAGCCTACAAGCTATTGTAACTGAAAAGAAAGCAAAAGAAATCAGTCAACGTGAAACTTGGACTACGTGGCAGCATCTACAGAGCATCCTTTCCATTTAAACACTTGAAATCTTTATGTGATTTGGAAGGAAATAAGAAGAACCTCCTGCTAACAAGATTTGTGGATGATTAACTAAGATGACTGATTACCCAGCATTTCAGAATAGCATGATATAAAGCATAGAGCAGTCTAGATCACCTCTGGGTAATGCGTAGTGGGTCCGTTTAAACAACATGCTTTTTAATATCTAACAATGCAAAGGTATGTGCACACAAACTGGAGGTTTACAGTAGAGAACACAGTAGTGCCTCAGGGGTGGGCAGGAAAAGCAGAATAAAAAAAGCCATCAGAGGATGAATAACTTTGTATGAGTTTCCAGGGTGTGACTGTAGGGAGAACTGCTATAGACGACAAACATTAGCACAGCTCTGTGATGGAGCTTATGTGGCCATATGGTTTAAGAACCACAACTGGCTGATGGCCAAACTGTTTGGAGGGTGGGCCAAGAGAAGCTTTTATTTGTCTAGTGCAGGCTTTTAGACATGGCTTATATTTTGGCCAGAAGAGTCTGAAATAGAATACAGCCAGGATGCCAGAATCAATGCATGTTGGTGCACTTAAATAGTTTGTTTACAACCTTCCTCCCATCCCTTGTATACCAAGTTTGGGGTTTGGTTCTCCAGAACATCCACATTCCTCGCCATCAAATATATTTGGAGACAGATATTTATACACACACACGTATATATGCCTACGTATATGTGAAACAGATGAAGATTTGTGATCTGGAAGCATATCATACAGAACATTACACGGAGGAAAGTTTCAGACATGTGTCCTAGTGCACTGCCTATAACAGGATGGAAGCCAGGCTCCCTACTCTTCTCAAATTCAACTGCTTTTCTTTTTCTGACTCTGTGTCATATTCTGAATGGAAGGAAACTAGCAAAGCATGCGACAAAAATGAAAGATAAGGAAAGATGAAAAATGAAGTGGCCTCAGGTCATGTTATGCATCAGCTCCCTCACCTATAATAGTTCACCGTCCAACAAGCATCATAAACTAGGACTTCTTGTTCTTGCATGACTGTGGAAGATGAGTAGAATATTGTTTTTTCTTCCAAAAAAAGTTACATTTTTGTGTCCTGATATAAACTATGAAAATTAACATAGGACATTTATATTTGTAATTTTTTTAATACGATGGAAATTCAGCACATAAAAATAATAACGGATGTCCCTTCAAATAAAGTGAAAAGGTTAAAAAATGTTTCCTCTATTATTGTCAGAAGAACTGCTCTTTAGGGCTACTTTGTACTACTGTGGAAAAGAAAATTTTATACATAGCTTTATTTGAATTGCACTCAGCCCCACCCTGATCTTAGACCGTTCATTGTTTTCAGCCAGTGAGGCAAACTTGTGTTGTCACCTTCCCGTTATTCTAAGTTGAAGAAGCTCAAGTTGAAGTCAAAGCAGATGTATTCTATGAAATCTTCCTCCAGTTTGTCATTTCAGACTGAAAATTCCAGCCAAAAATACAGAAATAAAAGCTGTCACAATTTTATCTTAATCTGGCCATTAAGAACAGTTCAGAATTTCTTAACATGGGGAGTAAGACCAGAGACTTTGTAACATTAAATATGCAAATTTGAAAACTCAATCAAGCATCCAATTTTTTCAGGTCTATATGCATATACATTGTACATAAACAACTGAGCTATGTTACTCTCAACATATTCAAGA